GCAAGCCTCTCCTTCCACACACACACCCGCCCCCCTTAATATCATTGCAGATGGGGAAAAAAAGTTGCTGCCCTTTTGCTCTCCTGCAGGAGCAAAAAATTATTCCCGAAGGAGTTGCAAGAGTTTCCTTTTTTCCTCCCATCGAACGCGTCTGGCTGTGTCAGGACGTCCCGTGTTCTGTCAAAGGGAAGAAAGCGCAGGGGTATTTGTTACCTCCTCGCTCTTGGGCGCTTAGCCCTCAGTGCTCTCGGACGGCTGCCTTTGGTTTGGCTGGATTGGCCGAGATGTGATTTGAGAGATGACTGCATAATAACAAGAGGCAGAAGGTTGTCTCAGGAAAACCATCCGGGAGTAGAAACGATGCTTGATCAGATTAAATAAGCCTTGGCTCCGTGTCTCGTTTCCAGCCTCTCCCAGCCATTCCGAAAAGCAGAGCCCATCATGGCCCTGACAGGGAAATCGGGGAATTTGGGGTGTGTTTTTACTCCCTTGTTCGACCTCGGAGACCAGCAATCTTTGCAAAAGGACTTGACTGTCAGATGGGTATTCTGCAAAGTTTTTAGGAGGAGTGTTGGGTTGTTGTTGTTTTTTGAAAGGTGGGGGCTGTGTTTGAGTAGGTGAAGTATGGAAAAATTACCCTCACCCCATGATCCCTTACAGGACACAAACAGAGAAGAAAAAACATGCATTCTTGGGGGAGGGGATAGTTGGGGGATACGCAGGGGTGCATTTGGGCCCGAGGCTTTGCCCACCCAAAGGAAACTTCCAGGGCTGAGGCAGCCAAGAGAGAAAAGCTTCTTCGGTTCCTGAGTCCTTCCCAGTTACAAAGAATCTCTCCTGCCAGGTGGAAGTGGCTGTTTTGACTGCAGGTGTGTTTTTGTGAGGGGAGATTGCTTTTATTAAGTATTCATCACAAATGGTGTCTGCCAGGCAGTGTTTTTCATCTGTAAGCTGAAAATCCATCATCTCTCCCAACTAGAAATGACACAGACTTTTATCCTTCAAAGGAAAAGCATAAAACATATGGAGAAAGGGGAGAAGCCTTTTAGGTCCCGACTGACATCCCAGTTTCTGCCATGGAACCAGGAGCGTGTAATATTTTTTCTGCACCCTGACACTGATGTGAGGCCATCCTCTATCAGAGGGTGGGTGCTGTTCGGCCTACCTCTGGGTACCGGTGCTCACGGCTGGAGAGTCAGAAGGGACCCAACTTGAGGGCAAGGCTGCTTCTGGGATTCTCTCTGCTGCCTTCAGGAAGGTGACGACTTTAGTTGCTCTCGTTGAGTTTTTGAGTGGTAATTGGTGGGTCCAGCTAGCGAATAAAAATATATAAACAGCAAACATGGAACCTCCAAAGTTTATATAGGGTAAATGTTAAGGCCATCACCATATTCTGATTTGGTGATTCTTGCTCTTGTTACGTGCTGCCAGGTCACTCCCATCTTTTAATGACCTTAAAAGGTCCTGTCCTTCAGGCTTGCTCAGGTCTTGCAAAGTAAAGGCTGTGGTTGCCTTTATTGAGCCAAATCCGTCACATCTTCAGTCTTCCTCTGATTTTTCCTCTGGGGTGTCATGAAAATGTAGGTGCGCCGTGCATTCTGACTTTCTTGCATTGATGAGCTGATTAGTACGTGCTGCTTATATCCCGCCCCATAGCACTTAAAGCACTCTCTGGGCGGTTTGCAATTTAATTATGCAGGCTACACATTAGCACATGCAGTGTGATTAAAAAGCCATTGCTCCTCTTCAAGCCACCGCTGAAACTCTGCATCAGTAAACAGCCACTGTGGGGGAAATGATCATTAACTGTGGCTTTTGCATTTCAGCTCCTCCTGACCCCACCGTGCATGAAATGCAAAGTGGTGGTGACAGAGATCACAGTTACAGGTCTCCTGCACCCCCAGTAACCCCCTCCCCAATAAATTACCCTGTGAAATGAGTGCATACTTGTGGGATGGGGGGTTTCCCACAAACATCTATCAGAGGTGCAGGGTCTCTGGAGCAGACCCTGATGCCAAAATTGTGGCTCTCTTTTCAGACCAAAAGATGCCCTCTGGCTTGTTGGGGATCCTTGAGAGGATTAAATTATCAACAGCACCTGGCAATTACGTCAAATTAAGGAAGATCAAGTTGGCTCAGAGCTAACAGAAGTTTCAGTTCTCAGTTTCTCACACTTTCAAAACGAGGAAGAACAGTGAAAACAAAGCCCTCGGCCCCGATTCAATTAAGTCTTTGCCCCTGTCAGCCCTCCTTCTGAAGTTTGTGAGCTCTAAAAATTGGGCCTCTGTTCTGGCTGTGCGTCCGAGGCCAGATTTAATGGTGGTGGCCCAGAGAGAGAGAGAGAGAGAGAGAGAGAGAGAGAGAGAGAGAGCCTGTGACCACCTGCCTTGGATGCTGTTCAACCTGTGTGGCCTCCCCACAGGGGTGAAGCTTTTGGCAAGCAGGAAGGGGCTTGCCATGAACTGTACAGAGTCCTTGCGCCAGACGTGTTGCAAAGCAGGCTTCAGATGTTCAGGGCGGTCTGATGCACTCATGGAAAGGGGCTAGCAAAAGGGCTATTTTTAAAGTCGGGTGGAATGTCTTGCGGCTCCCAAGTGAGCCTCTTCAACAGCGTGAGCTGGCCTTAGGGTCAGGGCAGCCCCAGGCAGGGTTGAAGCAGTGCCAGCAGAGGGAGAAGTCGGAAACTCCTCTGCAGCCTGGACTCTCCTCCTTGCAGGCATGGAATCCTCTCGGACGTAGATCAGTTCTTCCAACTCCTCATGGATCCGGGTAGGGAAGGCAGCATAACTGCATTGAGACAGCATTGTTACATTTTGGTTACTCACTGTATGAATTGTTTTGCTGCTGTTGTTTTGCTTTCTGATTTCCTCCTTGGAAATGCATTGCTACATTTGGACCTAAACATTTATTTTAAAAGAAACATACAAGTGGAGCAGGAGACCTTCGTGAGAATGTCCCCAAGTCTTCTTGGAACAGGTGCTTTTTGGGGTTGGGGGGGAGCAGGAAGGTTCAGCTCCCTTCAGAAAAAAAAAACTAGGACAAGGCCACAGGGTCCTCCAAACAATACCAGTGCAGGAACAGGGGATACCTTTATTGAGCTATTAAGAAAATAAAAAAGTTCAAGTTTATTGTATTAGCTAAAAGCCGTCACAATTATTAAGAAAATAATAGGTGGTGGTGGTGGTGGGGAAATGACAGCTCTGCAAGGGTTTTTTTATACAGGATTTAGACAATGTCTGAGCAAAGCTGGGAAAGTAAGAAAGTGGTTGTAAACTTTTAAAGCGTTTCTTCCCAGTCGTCTCTGAATGAAACATGATGTTTTCCTCTTTTCTCTCTTTGGCCCATTTCTCTCTCTTCCCCCCCCCCCTTTCCCCTCCTCCGTGTAGTTCTTCTGTGTTCTGCTGGCCATCTTCCTCATCGAATTGCTGCTGCTGCTTGTGGAAATCATCTTCGAAAGGCAGGTAAGCGTCCCCCGCTCGTCGTGATGTGGTGCAATTTCTTACAGAGGTGCTGGAGATCAGCTTTTCGAGCAGGCGGTGAGTTTTAAATGGTGCTGGATTTCTTTTTACCCAAATAAATTTTGATGCCATTCATTAACTTAGGGGTTGTGCAACTGATGGAATGCCGAACTCCTTTTTTCTTTGCCTTCATCCTCAAATGTTTGAAATGATAGGAGGCATCATAAATAGGGTACATTTGTGGGCCTCATAAATGTAGAGGAACCTCATTTGTGTTTAATTAAGTGTAAGTACACATTACACTCATTAAAAGATGCCTAGTAAGGTACCCAGAGTGGAATTGTGGATAAGGTGATGGACTAGAACTCTGGAGGCCTGGGTTCAAATCCTACTTAGCGACAAAAACTCACTGGGGGGAGTAGAACTAGTAAAACTACCCCTTAAATATCTCACTTACAGTGAAAGCCCTGCTAGGGTCACTATCAGACTTGAAATGCATAACATTACAAAGAGACATCAAAATCAGTCCAAATCCATGCACTTTGAATTCATGTTTCATTTCATTTAAATTTCTCTCATATTTTGGATGTGTGGAATTATTTTGTTTGAAGTTTGCTGATCGTCGTCTCCATTGGTGTGCACAGATGTTGGGGGAAAGGCTGCATCCCTCAAAATGGGTGGGGGGAGATGTCAGCCCCCACCTAGTAAGGACTCTTGGGGTAATTAAGGGCATGTTGCACAATGCCACCCACCCCCCAACACACAAACACATGCATACACTGTTTGTAACTGTTGTTGTTCTGTCGTTGCCAAACTGGCCTATAGCAACCCAAATAGGGCTTTCAAGGTAAGTGAGATGTTTAAGGAGTCGTTTGCTCTGAAAACTCTTTATTTTGTGCAAAAAAAAAAAAAACCAACCAAGATTGTTGCTCAAAACACAAGGTTTTCAAGAAAAAGCAAGGTTTGGTGAATGCTGAGAAAAAGGGTGCCAGCCTTTTCAGTCTTGTGTAGGAGGAAAAACCGCTCTCTGCAGTTGCTCTTTTTGTTTGTGTTAACAAGGTGTTTGGAGCGGAGGCACCTTTTTCATGGAGCGCCAAAGCCATTGAATTGGTGACCTCCTTAACGCTGGAAGTTAAAATGGAAGGAGGCTGGTAGCCTGCTCTTTTCACAACGGAGGCCTCTCGACAGATGTTTTAATCCCTTCTGCTCGGGCGTTCATGGGCCCGTGGCCTCTGCCTGGGGCTTTTTAGTGCCGTCTCCGTGTTTTCCACCTTGACGGGCCCTTCCCTGCTTGCTGAGCTTGTCTTTAAGATTCTGCTCTTTACACATTCTCCTTTCTTCAGCTTCTCCAATCTCTGTAATTTTCATGTCAGAATTAATTAGGCAAAGTGTCTGTACCTCTGTGTGTGTGTGTGTGTGCACGTGTGTGGGTGTGCATCTCGACATGTGTTTTCAAACCAAAAACCTGACGCCCTTTGCTTCCTTGATGATTCTCGATGCTCGTGCCTGACGGAACGGTGCCAGGTGGAGTGGGACCCTTGAGCGCTCTTGGAGGGTGTTTCTCGTTGGCATTAACGCTTCACCTTAGAGGGATGCAGAAAAGCTTCCGAAGCATCCATAAAATGCATTTCAGATTCAATTCTGGCTTAATTTGAAATGGCTGATATGTCAAACTAGCTCCAAGGGTGTGTGCTTTAGGAATTACAGGAAGATCCTTTTGATTGCACCCATATTTTTCCTTCTCGTTTTTCTCACTCAGTGTAGCTTGGGCGCATAATTAACTTACATTATCAAAAGCAACAGCTTGAAAATTTAAAAACAGCGTTAATGTCTTGCATGGCAAGGCCTTTCCCGCCTCTTGTTCTGCTTCTTCATTAGTATACCTAAAAAAATGCTGAGGGACTTCAGGTTTGGTTCCAGAGCCTGAAATGCAGTAACCGTAACTGCTCAGCTGAGGATGCCTGGTTGAAAGGAGGAGAAGCGTTTTCAGGAACGGGTGCAGGGTGTTCAGTGGCTTATTATAGGACTGCTGGGAACTGCCTCCTCCTGCCTTAGACCGTGAACCTAAGGCAGTTCTAGTGACCCCAAGGCTGCTTCTCCAGACCTAAAGAGGTGGGGTTTCAGGCAGGATCCTTTCCAGACTGGCGTTCTTCCAGGATCCATTTCTCAAATCTGCTTCAGAAAGGGAGAGTGCTCTGTTTACCCATAAAGACTTTGACACCAAGGAGCCTCACGCTGCAGTGATTAAACTGCAGTACTGCAGCCAAAACTCTGCTCACGATGTTCAGTCCCAGGTAGCTGGCTTAAGGTTCACTCAGACTTCTATCCTTCCAAGGTCCATCCTTTTGGGTGCCCAGCTTGCTGGGGGGAGGGTTAAATGAGTACCTGCATAACTAACTTGTAAAATGCCCAGAGAGTGCTTTAAACACTACGGGGTGGCATTGAAGGAGCGTGCTTTTTGCTTTTGCTTCCTGGTTTTGGCATTAAAATGCTCTTTTTGAGCAGAGAGTCGCAAGAACCCAGCTGAATGCAGTAGGATAATTTAAAGCAAAATATACACACCCAACAAGCAAGAAGTAGTGGCAGCGAGCAAGAAGCTGCCACACTTCTGATAACACTGAAACAGAGAGGCTTGTTGGCACGAGAGATCCGAGACGGATAAGATCCAAACAGAGCCAGGAGCAGGCCGGACCCCTGAGAGGTGGCAGGAGAGGTGGGGCTGCCAGGCGCGGAAGGCGGAGAGTTGCTTCTTTGGAAAGAGCCAAACCAGTTTCAACCCGTTAGTTAGTTGGGCTGCTCCTTTTGGAGAGAATGAAAAGAGGAGGAAAGGAGCAACTTGGCAATGGCAATAATGTTACGGGACTAAATCATAAAATGAAAACATTTTTCTTTCCTCTTGCGTAGGCCCTAAAGAATGAAACAAAATAACCATTTAGGAAAGTGCATCAGGTTGTTTTAAGGGACTGAATCTGGTCTTGAGACGCCGTCACTCCTTCCATGAGAGAAATGAATCATGGGCTGTGGAAAGTGGGACCTTTCAAAAGCGAAATCTCCTCCATGTGGGAGGTTTCGCTTTGGGGTTGTTGTTTTGTTTTTGCCCCCCACCCCCGATGCTTTCAAGGAGAGGGGCTGTTCCAAAGGCCCCCTTGTACGGGGGGGGAGAAAGGCCCCCAAGCTCTGCCCTTGTTCCTGTTCTTTGAAAAGCCTTTCTCTCATGAGTGGGATTCTGCTCCTTTCCAGATGAATGCAGTCTTCCACTCTAGCATCCAGGACGGGATCAGACACTATTACGACGACTTAGACTTCAAAAATATTTTGGACTTTGTCCAACAAAAGGTGAGTTTTGTGAAGGCGGGTCTCCTCCTCCTCCTCCTCCTCCTCCTAGTGACTGTCACCGGGCGCAGGGGGACGGGGCTCTCCGGCTGGTCCCCCTGGGGTGTCGGCGCCCTGTTTTTCAAGACACTTTTGAGTGAGGTGCCAAGTGTGATAGTCAAACTGCATTGTAAGAGCCTTAAAGAGGCCCTTCCCAGCAGACAGAGTCAGTCTGGGGCCCTCTCTCCGTTTCTGCTGGTTTTCTCCTGGAAGCATGACTCCAGTTCTAGGGGAGGCTTGTTTCTTAATGACGGGCTCCTCCTTGGTATATCAAAGCCCCTCCGCACACACACACACACACACACACTCAGCAGTAGCATCAATTCAAGTGGACTGGCCTTAATAGGCAAGTGGGGGGGGGATGTCTACCTTGAGGTATATTAACTAGAGCCTAGAATTTCAGCTTGTGGTCTTATGTTCCAGAGGCAAAATGCCTTGGCGCCCACTCCGATAGCTCAGTGGAACCTGGGACTTTTGAGATACATGTTTTGTATAGTTTTGTATAGTTGAATATACAACTGTACAAAACTGGCATGATCTGTGCAGCAAAACAGAGGTGAACCTGAGATACGTGTTTTTGTATAGTTGAATAGTTTCTCCTGTTTTTTCCCCCCCATCAGTTTTCCTGCTGTGGAGGTGACGAATTCAGGGACTGGGATGTGAATCCTTACCACTCGTGCAACAGCAGTGGCCCCCTGGCCTGCGGGGTGCCGTACACATGCTGTATCAAGCAGGTAAGATGGGAAGCCCCTTTGGCTCTTCCTTGCTGGAAGCATGAAAAAGCTACAGATGTGGGCATCTCCGGATGTTCGCTGCCGAGCTGCCGGTTCAGGCTGAACGTTGGGAGGGACTGGCATGAATGAGGGAAGCCCTCCTTGCCTTTCTCTTTTGAAGATTCCTCACGTTGGGAGGGACTGGCATGAATGAGGGAAAGCCCCCTTGCCTTTCTCTTGTGGGGTTTGAAGATTCCTCGTCAAGGAGTCATGACCGCCTGAACCAGCAAGAAGAGAGCATTTGGCACAATGCCTTCACATCTTTAGTGCATGCATGCACAAATAAAAAGAGCGAGAGAGAGAAGCACAAGCATAATGTTGGGAGGGACTGGCATGAATGAGGGAAAGCCCCCTTGCCTTTCTCTTGTGGGGTTTGAAGATTCCTCGTCAAGGAGTCATGACCGCCTGAACCAGCAAGAAGAGAGCATTTGGCACAATGCCTTCACATCTTTAGTGCATGCATGCACAAATAAAAAGAGCGAGAGAGAGAAGCACAAGCATAATAGGTGGTTATTTAGTGCATGCATGCACAAATAAAAAGAGAGAGAGAAGCAGAAGCATAACAGGTGGTTAGTTCTTGATAGATTTATGTTCAGTTAACCTACACAGGAATTTAATGTCATCAGTACAAACGTTTAAAGGCAGTCCAGTCCTTTTCTGGTTCCAGCCTTTCCAATGGAGTTAGTATTGGTTCTTCAACACTTCTAACAGGCTTTAGACTGCTTTACTTATACACATCTTTTTGTGGTTTCATGGAGTGGGTGAGTTCTTTAAGATACACTTCTGCTCCATCTGGCTACACAGAGGTCAAAAAATGTAGCCTGTTGCTTGTTTTTTAAGTGACTGGATCTTAACCATAATTGTTTCCCTCTGGCCCAAGTGTGTGTTTGTTTTTTTCCCAAAGGTAAGCCATTTTTTCAGAATGAATTTCAGCAGCCACTTACTGATACGATGCTACCATACAAAGGTGTATGAAGCTGGGGTGCTGATTAGATTGGAAGGGAAGAATGCATTACTAGACCCTCCTTCCACAAGTCTGCTTGTTTGGAGTTGCAGAGTGCATCATCCCCAACGTCCAATGGCACAGTGGTAAATTTGAAAGACAACATCTTAAAAAGCAGAGGCATCACCTTGCCCACAAAAGTCCACATATAGTCAAAGCTATGGTTTTTCCAGTAGCGATGTGTGGAAGTGAGAGCTGAACCATAAAGAAAGCTGACCGCCAAAGAATTGATGCCTTTTGAACTGTGGTGCTGGATTGTTCTCTTGACCCAACTCTGAGAGGCAGTGGAAGAGAGGAGGGCCTGGCGTGCTCTGGTCCATGGGGTCACAAAGGGTCGGACACGACTTAACGACTAAACAACAACAAAAATTGAAAGTACAGGTAATCATCATGACGGTTCCTGTAACTAGCCACCCAAGACTGGAGAAATCAGAAGTTCAGGTAGCTCACTCAGTCCATATCAAACAATCAGCAGCAGGACTTTTGCAAAGCAAATGGCTCTTAACTGCCCATCTGAGACCAAATACTTCACCTTGCCATGAGAATAGCCATGGTGTACTATTCCTGGGGAGATCTCATACTCTGAGGATGGCTACCAGGCTCAGGGAAGCCTGGGTGTGTGTGTGTGCAGGGGTGGCACAAGATTTCCTAGTCCCTGCTAGTCAGGCAGTCACAGAAGTTTAACCCTGTGAAACCTGGCTCACTGTACTACAGCTGTCATGTGAAATTGGGTGTGCTAACTGGAAGTGACAGGGAAAGCAGGAACTTAGAGCAGACTGCAGGAGGTGACGGAGGGTGCAGATGATGCCTTTGAGATGCCAATGTCCTGCTGACAGTTTACACCGCTTAGAGATGGATGTTGTTCTGTGTTTGTCTGAGATTCCCTTTCAGTCTTGTTGAAATGATCAGCAAAGCTGTGGTGGCACCTTGGGCTTCCAGTGGATGCTAAACTCCGCAGAGTTTGGCTTACTCATGGGGTGAGCATGAGTAACTGCTTTGACAATGCAGCTTTTCAAAAGGTGCCGTTTCTCACTTTTCTGTGGGAGTCAGCCTAACCCAGCCACTGTTGCTTTTGACTTTCCTTCATTGTTTGCCTCCAAGGTTCATGGGGCCCGGGGGGTGGGCGAGCTGATCTGTGGCAGGCGCACAAAAGGAGGCGATGCAGAGGTTTAAGCTCCCAGTGGGAATATAGTCCACTCCCAGCTTAGCAGAGGGAAGGGGGGGGTTCCTGCTGAGTTGTGGCCTTTGTCTGTGTGCACGGGCACACACTGTTTCAGAAGTTTGCTTGAGGATCCAGCTGCTGTATAACTCTGAAGCTGAATGTGGGGTGGAAGAGGTGTAGGAGGGGGAAATGCTGCTGCGGGATTTGAGGAGGGCTCTTCCTCCCCCTAAGTGGCCTGTGACCCTCTTGCTGAGCCACAGAGAGGAAGACCACCCCAGGCTGCTTTCGTGGCCTGTGAACGGGGCTCTTGCGGTTTCTGCTTTTTCATTCTACTCAGTTATTGGTGATTTCTGAGAATCAGAGAACAGCAGAGTTGGAAGGGGCCCCTTCTCCAGAAAGGACACCTTGCCTCCCTGTGCACTTTGGTTTGGACTGGTGATTGGAAAGGAACAAATGATTTTAAAAAATGGTATCTGCTATCAAGTGCTATCAAGTCATTTAAAAAATGATATCTGCTATTTAAAAGTGCTATCAAGTCAGTTCTTTGTAGAGTTTCCCCAGGTAGAGAGTCCTGAGAAGTAGTTCCCCCTTCCTTTCTTCGGGGACTCTGCAGGTGGCTCTTCTGGGAGGCACAGCAGGGAGCTGAACCCCCAACCTCTGGCTCCACAGCCAGAGACCAAGCGCCTAACTCACTGAGCTATCCAGGCAACCGACTGGGAGGCAAGGGCATCATTAATTGGCAAGACTGACTGCCGAGGCACGTTCCTCCAAGGAGGAAGTGATTTTTGTGAAAGAAGAAGGGACTAATCAGAGGGAATGCACGTCCCCTTAATTCCTGCCTTGACCCCCTTAGTCATGAGGCATCTGAAGGAAGGGACCCGGCATCTGTTTTCATTACTTAGAAGAGGGGCTGCAGCTCCCGGCCTGTCAACTCATTTGCATGCTGATCCGCCTGCTTGAAACATCGGCAATCTGCATCAATAAATCATCAAAGGACAGAACCCAAAGAGGATTGTGGTCCTTCGCTTCAGCTAGGAGGATGCGTGGAAGACTCTTATCACAACACGAAGCAGAATACTCCGAGGGACAAACGTTACGTCCACCCGTGGTGGAAAGGATGGAAATAGATCACGATCTCAAAAGTTTGCTCTGTTTTGCTCCCAAATCTTGAAAATCTGGTGTGATCTGTGGAGCGTCCCATTTCCTTCTCTGGAAAACAGAGGTGAACCTGAAACGGTGAACTATCAAGGCTGGAGGTCTGGAATCCTGGCTGGACTGTCAGTGAAGGAAGGCTTCTTTCGCCTGGCTCAATCAGGAGCATTTAGCATCACCTCTTATTTACTTATTTATATTTCTTGATTACTTATACATTAGAAATTGTGGTTGCACCCTATCCCACCTTTCCTTCAGTGAGCTAAAGGCAGCCTTTGTGACTCCCTTCCTTGCTGTTCACTACAGACTTACTCACCCCATTGTCTTTGGGGAACCGATGAGGGTCACCATCCTTCTAGATTCTTCCAAGAAAATAAATCATACGGGGCTGAATGGAAGGAGGCATGCTGGACCAAGTGGCTGAAATCTGGTGTCAGCACGAAGGAGGAGTTAAAGCTGGCAATGCTGTTTGTTAATGGAGGCCAAGCAATTAGCGTCCCAAATCAAGCCAAGCGTCGCGTTGTTCCTGAGGGAAGCAGACCGATTTGTTTCCTCTGCATGACTGAAGTAGATGTATTACATCAAAAGGGTTGCCACTGTTTTATCTGACTGCCTTTGTTTTGTTCTCAGTTTTTCTAATTTTTTTTAGCCTAGAAGATTGAAGATATGGAATTTTGCACTGCCAGCATATCAAAATAAAATACATAGATAATGAACAATTTTTGCAGATACCCAGTTGTGGAGTTTCTGGCCTCCAAACCAGAGCCTATTCCGCTTGTGGCAGGACTTCTCCACTGGCTTGCTCTTGTGGCTTTTGCTTTATTTAGTTGAGGTAGATCTCTGGACACCCAACAGACTTTATGTCTGTTCCAGCTGCTGAAAGCTGGCACGGTGGTGCATTCCCCTAATCACGACACCCCACCCCACCCCTCTTGGGACTGGTGATTATCTGCAGTTTAGGGCCTAACCACACCTGCCAAAAAGAACCCCAGTTATACCGATTCTTTCCGTACCTCTGTTGTACCAACACATTTATTTTTGTGGTCACATGGTAGATAATACTGACAGGAACGTTCCCATTGGTTTTAACAATGTCGATTTATTGCTTCCTATTTGAAGTGTTATTGCTGGCTACACCATGGAATTCAATTATTTTCTCTGATGTTTTCTTGGGCAATGCTACTTCTTACCTTTTTAAAAAAAAAAAAAAACCCCAGCTAATGCATCAATATGATGGAAAGGGATTCCTGTTCGGGAATGTTTGATCTGTGGTGCCTGCAGTTCTGGAAGTCATGCACTGTCCACAATGATCCTGGCCCCTGCCTGCGTCACTCGCTCTGCTGCTTGGCAAGCCGTGGGCTGAGGCACCAAGCAGTAAACAAGACAAATGGCACGCAGAAGTCAATCTGTGCGGCTATTGTGCCTGTAAAGCTGCAGGCCTCAGTTTATCAAGGTCAATAAACTGGAACCAATTTTTTTAAATATATATATATATATATTGCAGGGCAGCCACACCACAGTCATGGTGGCTGCCTTCCCCAGGAACCAAGGATGGGAAAAGAACTGAGACGAACACATGTTATACCGGTAAGGAATAGATCGATAGATCATCAGTACAACTTAAAACCACCCTCTTGGTGAGGTGAAAGTAAACCTGAAATACACAGCTGGCTGGGAAAATGAGTCCATCTTGGCTGTGCCTCATGTCCTCGGCCATTTATGAAACCGTCTAAAAAATAGCCAAATGGGTATAACTGGGTTTATTTTTGCCAGGCATGCTTAGGCCAGGAGCTGTCATTTTTCTTAGTGACCTTTTAGTCGCCTCGTGCCATTTCTGAGTAGTGATAGTAAAGGGAAACAACGGGATAAGTGAAGTGAGTCCCACAGGCAATGAGGGCAGACTGTATGAGCCGGACGGTCTTGACCCAACCTTCCCTGCTTTCTCTCCCCCTTCCTGTCCAAAGAATCCGACCTGCCCAGTTAGGTGAACAGGAGGTACCTACAAGGCAAATCTGCCTTCTAGCGACTGAGTCACCAGGGCCCTGCATTTCCTCCAGGGCGGAGGCCAGTGGGGAGGGGGTCTCTCCTGCTGCCTTCCTTGCCCCTTCCAAAAAGACCATTGAGAGACACACACACACCCCCAAGTGCCCCCCCATGTACTTGGATTGGCTTTGACGCTGCTGTTCTTTGTACCTGAACAGGCTCCAGGAGAAGTGATGAACACGCTGTGTGGATACCGGACTTTAAACAAAGAGGTAACTGCCGTTCTTGGGTGCTAAACTAGGCATTGGGGGGGGGGCTTTGGCATTTTTCATTAGGGAAGGGGGTGTAGAGTTGTCCTGGGCAAACCTCATGAAATGAATGAGAACCACTCAAGGTGTCTGTGAGGGATGGAGGAGAGATGATGCCAGAATACTTCCCAGCAGGTCATCGATGCAGTCCTTAAAGGGGGGGGGGGAAAGCCCTCCGGTTGATTTGAACTGCAGTTCCCTTGGTCCTTTTTCGTTGGCCCTGCGGGGGCACCCCTCCTACACAGACTTTGTTGGAATCCAGCCTGTCCCCCTTGATAGCCCGAGGCTGCTTCCCTATGTTGCCTGAGTCCTAATAGGTGTGTTGGGGGGGGGAGGGAGTAGGAGCCTAGCAGATGGCGCCCAACACTCCTGCCCACCTGGGCCATTTCAAATCATTTATTCTCTGCTTTAAAAAAATGAGACTGAGAAAGTTGGAGGATTAAGCTGAGCTAATACTGTGCACGGTAACGGGCTCCATGAATGCTACTAGGATTCAAAAGCCATGTGTTTGTTTTTTGTGTTGTGTTGTGTTGCGTTGTTTTGAATTGTGCCTGCATCACATTCATTTGGAGATAATTAAGTTGGAAGGCTGCTGGAGATGTTGAGAGACAACGTTAGCCTGTGTCTGCCTTGCCAGCGCCATGTTCAATAAATCAATTCCAAGCCATCCCTTTGATACTGGAGAGGCACACAGGGCTGAATGGAGGAAAGCATGAGGCCTGTTCATCCATAAAGCCACGTTAAACTTATGGCTGGGTGTTGGTACTCCTTCCGGAGAGCACCGCCCGGGTGAGAGACGGGAAACAGGGTGCGTGAGCCTTCCTTGAAACAGCCGTGGATGCTGAGAAGTTGTCAATTATTACCCATTTGGATTTCTAGCTTGCCTCACCAGGAAGCCCTGATAGATGGCTTTCTAAAAGGATTAGACATTTTAGGAGAGGACAGAGCTGGGAATTCCATGTTAGAGATCATTAGGCACGAGGATTAAAAATAAAACTGTGAATATCAAGCTGCTTTTATTTAAATCTGGTGGCGCAGTAACCCACAGGTGCAATTCCAGTCCTCTTACGGAGATGGCTGAAATTGTATGCAGGAAAGCATGTGCATTTCTGAGCATTGCCCTTAAAAAGGGCTCTGTCCAAACCCGCTTGACTTCAGGGAAGTGGCTACATCTGTTTCCAGAACAACAACAACAACCACCATCTAGAGCAGTGGTTCTTAACCTTTGTTACTCAGGTGTTTTTGAACTGCAACTCCCAGAAACCTCAGCCAGCAGAGCTGATTGTGAAGGCTTCTGGGAGTTGCAGTCCCAAAACATCTGAGTAACAAAGGTTAAGAACCAGTGATCTAGAGGTCCTAGTAGACCACAAACTAACCATGAATGAACAGGGTGAGGAGATGGCCGTAGGAAGTGAATGCAGTGTTTCTTCAGTTGTGTCCGCAGAAGTACAACGTTCAGATCCAGAAAAGCCACGGCACTCCTCCGTTGAGCTTTGTTCAGACCTCGCCTGCCAAGCAGTGTGCGTGAAGTGCCCATTACACCATCTCAGGGATTCATGAATGCAACACGCCACTGATTAGTGCCAGCCACAAAACAATTAAGACAATGGGGTTTTGTAGTCCTCTGAGGTCTTTGTCAGTCTAACGCAGAGGCAGGGAGCTTGTGACACACACGTTGTAAGACAACCTCTAAGAGCATTCCTCTTTATTGGCCCCTCTGGCCAAGGTGGATGGGAATTGAAGTCCAACAATCTCCAGAGGGCCAGGCATTCCCCATCCGGGTCCAACATATTCTGCAAGAAGAGCTCCAGCCCACCCTGAACATATTCCCAAATTTGGATTACACTTGGTCAGCAGGTTTACGAGAAAGCTCCAGGGTTCTCTGGGTGGTGCTGGGAAATGCTTCTGTCTGACACCCTGTAGAGCCATGGCCGTCAGTCTTAGGAGAGAAGGACCCCAGTTTGACTAGAGCTCAGACATAGATTAGATTTCCCACCTACAACTTCCAGAATCCACTAGGCAGCCAGGAAATACCTTCCAGGCTCTGGGTTTGAATCAGGTGACAGTGGCTTCTCTGTTCTTAAGCATCCCGGGAGCTCCAAATTTTCAGTTACTAGTGAGGGGGAGAATCAGACTCAACCGTTTTGCCTTCTGCTTTTAGCGGCTGGAACTGGTGGATATAATTCATGTGCGTGGCTGTATCCATGCAGTGGGCTTGTGGCTGAAAGACAACTTTGAAGCCAGTTTTGGGATTGTTTGCTCTCTGTTGCTTCCTCAGGTAAGCCAATAGTTTTTCTCTCTGAGGTTTACTAGGGGTGTGTGGGGGTGTATGTGTGGGTGTGTGTGCGTGTGCAGGTTTTGTGGGGGATGTGAAGGGTTAGAAGCATCACAGAGGTTGTCTGTGTCTTTTTAAACCCTCAGCTAGTATTTCTGTGTTTCCTCGCCAGGCGCCTGGCTTGACTTGCTTTGGCTTCTCCAAGGATAAATGTGCTAAAACTACCTGCACAAATTATGGAGGCCTTAATTAGAAAAAAAAGCTGAAGCCAAGGGATCTCCTTGTTCAGTTGCTCTTCTGAGTCAAAACAGCCGAAACTTAGGAGAGCAAAGAGTTTAACATGCATTTTGGAATGAAAATGAGCAGAACCATCTGAATATAGATCAGAAGGGAGTAGGATTCAAGATGCCACCCAGCGGGATTTCTTTCTGAAGAGGAGCTTTAAAAAAGGAAGGGAAAAAGGAAGAGTGCGTGTTGATAAAAATCTTCCTGGGGCAAACAATTCAGATTCCCTTCTCCGTCTCTTCCCCCCACACCCCCTTTTCCCATCCCTTCTCTAGAAAGAGTTCGCATTGGCTCAGAGGCATCCATGAAATATCAATACATCCGCTCCCTTTGTAAGAACATGCCCCGGAGAAGACTTTTATCGAAACATGTCAGGCTTTTTAATATTTTTTGAGGAAGAAATCATTTTTATTTAATAACAGGGTTAGGCTTGTTTCTCTGTTTCTCCCATGCAGCCTTTCTGAAGACTTTGAAATAGTTTGAGAGTCTTTGCTTGCACACCCCAGTCAGTTTCCATCCTCGGCCGTCTCTAGTCCAACCAGGGGGTGCAGGTTTTCTAGTGTGTAGAAAACCTCCCTAGAGCTGGTCATGAGGGCAGCTGTTCATCCGTGTGGACCAGGGGACTCCCTCCTTTCCTGGCCGTTTTTTGGGAACTGGGTTCGGGGGAGAGCCCACACCAGCTCGCTCTCGGTTTGCGGTGCCTCCTGTTCTCTGTGGTTCAGCATCAGATGGGTTGATGAGTTGAGTGGCCCCAATCCAATGGCTCATTCCACCTAGAGTAGACCAGTGGAATCCATGAGATGGTGTAAGGGTAGATTTCCTGTTCAGCAAGCAGCTAAAGGGATCTAATTCTCATTGGATTTTGGCTGTTAACGGGCAATGTCACTCTGCTCCAGACCTTTTAGGGTGTTGTGTGTGTGTGTGTCGTGGGAATGCCTAGGGTACTGACTGAGCCATAACATGCTCTGCTTGGCCGACCCCTACAGCCTGCATTGGAATAAGGCAACCGTGGATACACACACAAAGCCTCGTGGTTTTCTTGAAGGGTTTCAGCAGTACCTTTCAGGGTTTGCAGGAGAGCCTCTCTGAGAGATAAGGCGGTCTCTTTCCTTCTGTTTCAGTACATGAGCAGCTGGTTGCCGAACTCCCGCCTCAGGGCAGTTGAGAACTGGGACCTTCGTTAGCGGGTAAATGCAAAGGATCATTCAATCTCATGTTCTGTTATTCCATCTCTGTGGTGTTCTTGTGTTTGGAAAGGCCTCCCTTTGACCCCAGACACATTTGTACTGCAACAGACATCAGTAGAGGAGAAGAGGGACTGGCCAGAATGGCAACAGCTGGCCAGATTGCTCTCCCTCCACCTTCCCTCCCCTTTCAAAACTCTTCCCAACAAATTTCGCTGCCAAATGTTATGAGCCTCCAATTAACGAATATTTCTGGGACATTACAGTTTTCAGTTTTCCATTCTGGGCTGAAGAATACCTTGACTGGATCAACTCACAGGCAAGGGGGCGGGGGTTTTGAATTCTGCACAAAATATTCTTCGAGTGTAAGTGACATGAAATGCAGAGGGAGGGGGAGGGGAGAATAGCAAAAAGTCCAAAAAAAATCTCAGAAAATATGATGGCCTTGGTCTTGGAGGCCGGTAGACTTATAAGATGGAGGTTGCAGATTCAGTGAAAAACGGAGATTAAAGATGGGATCACACTGAGGAATGAAGGCGATCACTCGCACTAAAGCAACTCTTTCTGGTGCTGTCAGGGGCATGATTTGCAACTGTCTCATCACACCTGAGATCAAGTGAAATACCAAACAAGGTGATCCATGCCCTGAAACCATATATAGGGTTCTCTAACGTTGCTATTAAGATCACTATAATATCACGTGTAGTCCAAAGTATGCTGGTTGAGGGAATCAGAGGCTTACAGAGACTACATAGAAGATTATGGATGTTATAGTTAAGTAAAGTTTCCAAGTTCTGGGCTTTTTCATTTTATACTAAATGGCATCAGTGTAAAAGCCTCTGCCCCCTTCCTCAGCCCCGGCTGTACTGCCAGCCTCTCAGATCCTTTTCTTGTCTCTGAAGATGTCTTCCTGACAATCCCAAGAAAGTGGCCAAGTGACAGTGGGACACAGAGCTAGGATGCCTTTTACTAGAACAAAGTGTTTTGAAAGAAGGAAGCGAATACTTTGAAGAGCTCATAAATTGGAAAGCTCCCCACTGAGTAAACATAGGCATATTATTCACACTTAGTAAAAAAAAGATGGGGCTTTTGCCAGAATACACAAAGCTGAACTTTTCTCTTCAAAATGTTAACATATCAGCATCAGCAAGATGATTCAGAGGCAGCCGTTGTGAGTACTCCTGCACGAGCCAAGATCTGCAGAGAAGGATATCGGTTGTAAAAGTTGCAGGGTGATAAAAGCTGACTCCAGCTTTTTGATCTTCATGTACTGCTAATTTAGTTCCTAGACAGAGAGCATTCCCAATTGAGTAATGGTAACTGAACGGGAAAAACGAGCAAAATGTTTTAAAAGAAAGCTTTCCTCTTATCTTTCTGCCCATCATAAAAATCCATCACATGTTGGCCTAAAAGAGGGGAAGGCAGGCAGCTGAATCTGCTGAGAAACGTTCCTACAGGTCTGGCTTGAAGTCGGTTGAAATAAAAGTGCAGGCCCCTTAGGCTGCACGTTTCGTTGATGAATCACTTAGGCGAATCAATTCAAACACTCTGGATTGATTAAAGACATGCTCTTATTAATTAGGCAACTGATCTGTGAAACTGTGTGCACCCCTTGGAAGAGAAGTGCTTTCAACCACCACAGGTGGCAGGATACTTCCCGAAAAGAGATGCCCACCTCTCCTCCTTCACGACGGAGGGGAAAAGGGTACTTCTCCAAAATGGCTCCTGCAGTGTTAACGTTATCTGAAAGCACATAAGAAGTGTGCTTCCTCTGTTTTTCCCAGCAAGCCAAGACTTTTATTCTTGAACAGAAACATGCAGCATAAGATTAATTAGCAGTGTGTAACAACAGCCCACGTGGCAGCCATGTGCAGCCACGAACAGAGTCTTGAAGGCCTGCACAGTCCGTGGTTCCTCCTTCAGAGGTGACCAAATGCCCTGTTCTTTTGGACAGGCTCACGTTCTGTTCTGCGCCAAAGCAGGCATCGCTCCTGAAGATCTTAAGGAGCTGCTGGTCACCCCTGGCAACTCCACCCTCCTCAAGGAAACCTCCCTGCTTGGCTTTAGCCTCTGTTCCTAAGGGAAGCTCACTTGGAACCATGGATGGTCCCTTTACTTCTACAACCACTTTTAGAGGAGTATTTTACATAGTGTAAGGAAGCTGTGATAGAATGGGGAGCAGACGATACTAGCTGTGGTCTATCTCAGCCATCATCAAGGATGAGATGATTGAGTCACTCCCAGATAGTCCTATATTGATTCATATGAAGGGGATTCCCATGAAGTGGGGACTTGACACTCCCGTGGATTTCAGCTGGAGTACCCTAGTTGGGTCTAAGATTTAATCCTCTCTTCAGAAAGCATCCTCCTGCTCAGGCAGCATGCCACAAAAGAAGAGCAACGACACAAACCCATTAGACGAACCCTTGAGAGGATCGGAGGGAGGATCGGTCCTGAGAGAAGTGGCTTCTTCCCCTGCAGAGACTCACCTGGTGTTTTTCTTAAAGGGTGGGCTTGTGGCTACTCAGGGGGGGGTCACCGTCTCACCTTTCAGGGGTGCCCTGTTGGAATCAGTCTTACAGGTTATCAGAATGAGCTGTTTGATTAGACTAGAGGAGTCACCCCCCCCAGGACTAAACTGCTGAGGAAGATCATCTAAAACAGTTCCCCAGATGTTTTTGGATGAAAACTCCCAGGAGCTTTCACCACCAGCTGTGATGGCCAGGATTTCTGGGAGATGTAGTCCAAGAACATCCAGGTCGCCAATAGCTCTCAACCATCTTTTGCCTCTTGGGGTTGCTGCCTTGATGCCACAGATGTTAACATTGCATTGAACAAAGAGTGTAGAGTCCCCAAAAACCTGCTTCCAAATCTTCTTTTTTGTTTATTTCCACCTTATCTTAGAAGATGAGGAGGCAAAGATTGACTCAAGCGATAAAGCCTTTAACAGCAGTTGCTGCAGGTGGCAAATATTATTTATGCTGTGATACCTTTTCAGCAGGACATGGATAGTGCTGATTTTAGTAAAAGACAGAGTGTTCTAACAGCACTTTTGGATTACTGAAATGGTGCTGAGCAGGCTGTTTTTCTCCCATGGTGTTACGCTGAGGAAAGGGGAACGGGGCCTCACAGTATAACAGTAGAGCACCATCACACTCTTTCATTTAAGTGCTAGCTTGCCATAAGTATGCGTTTGGGTGCTGCTTAAACCACTGATGTTTTTAAAGGACCCTTAAAATGGTGGCTGTTGTGCAGTTTATACAGAGTATGCTAAGATAGGGTAGGGTCTTCTGACTGAGAGTTTGAAGCCCTCTCAAAATGGCGCCTCTTTAAAACGATGAAAGAAGCTCAGAAGGAGCTGTTTGCCTGCAGAGGGGCTTCACGGTGGCATCATCAACAGCGAAGGTCAGGCGTTCTGCAGCTAGACTAATGCTGGAGTCAGCACTGGGAAACACAGGAGGGTGGGAAGACAGAGGAAAACACCACCTTTCCTAAAACCACTAAGGGCCCTGCAACCCAATGCTGTCCAGATGTGTTGAGCAACAGCTGGCTTATCACAACTCTTGGAAGTAAACCAGACAAAGGGATCAACTGGAAACGGACCATCCTTTCAGAGAGGCTCGAAGCCGGTATAACAAGAGGGTGTCCTTGTTTGTTTATTTACTTGGGTCCTTTTAAAGGAAAAGGCAGGGAAGAAATATTTTGAATGAATGAACGTACATTGGGATTCCAGATTTTTAAAAGAAGCACAAAACCCTTGTGTTGCACATTTGGTCACAGTTCCAAGACCTCCCTATCTGTAAAAATGAGTGTGTATTTCATGAGTGATGTTGGTGCAGTTACCAAATGCCCAGCTCTCTCCGAAGAAACATCTGCTCTCCGTGAACATTTCATGGCTGCCACTGAGTTGGCTGCAGCCCATTCCCCTGCAAAAACGCTGCCATCTGAGTGATGGAGGAGTTAATACAAAAAAGGCAACTTCTCTGATTTCGCCAGCATGCCTGCTGTTTGTGCTGAGCACAGGATGGTGTTGATTAATGCTGTCACAATTAGTATTTATCTGCAGCATCTGCTTCTCTCACTAATGACTTGTATCTGATTATTTGCAGAGAAAATATATTCTTTGTCGCCGTGTGTTTTGCTCAGAATTGCTGCACTGAAATTGTTACAGAGGAAAATGTCAAGTGAAGTCAGGAGTTAACAAATAAGTCCATTTTGCAAATGAAGAAGTAGCACCAGTGAACAGGAAATAACGCTGTATTCCTTTCAGTAGGATAAGAATTCAATTTAAAGATCTGTGATTTTTGACAAGGCTTTTGCTAAAATGTCAGACACTCTTGGATCTTTTCCACCCAGTTACCTTCTTGCAGAAATAGTTACCCAAATAATGGGAATCTGAGGTTAAAATGATCAAATCACACATTAAAAGAAATACCTTTCTCCTGTTATTCCCTTCCTGTTTTCCCTTCTGGCACACAGTTCTTTCAAAGCTTCATGCCTGAGCCATCAGGCTTGCAATGAGCCCTGCGTTTACCACCTTAAAACAAAGCAAAAGCAGCTTGCTTCTACTTATCTTTTTTTTTAAGCCAACACTCCGGACACCCCATGTCCCCACTCATCCCAGGAAAACTGAGGCTGTACAGTAGTTCAGTGGATTCTTCCTTGGGACACAACCGAGCTAGCTCTGGGCGAACCTACATACGTAGCTAGTAGGTAGGAGAAAGGAGGAAACTACAGCTGTGTTGAAGAGACTGAGTCACTAACTGAGCAAATCTTGCTAGAAGCTGTTTCAGGGATGCTTTTTCAATTGAATCTTACATTATAAATTAAGTACTTTTTTGGTAATTATGGGATGACAGTTATTAAATGAAATGAGCTTTGTAATTTTTTTTTAATGAGCTCCACCTGCAAGTAGAATTCTTAAGCTCTTTAGGATGATTTTAATGAAATAAATGTGATGGGACTGAAGGACCCTACTCCCCCTCTCTGAAGTAGAAGAATGGACGGCTTTGTCCAGCTGTTGAAGACCAAGAACACGGAACAAGATCATTAAAAGGAACACATTTCTAACCACAACCTTGAGCCACAGAACATCTGTTAGTCTAACACCCTGCAAAGTCTTCATTAACTGGGCTGGTTAATGAACTATGTGAAATTATTACAAACTGAATCTCTTTCTACGGAACAGTTAAGTACCAGCATTTTTCCTGGAAATGTGTTCAATGCAAACCCAACAGCTACCAGTGAGGATGTGCTTGGCAGCAACAGAATGTGAGGCGTCAGGGGTTGACCCCTGGTGGAGGAGAGGGGACTGATGTGGGAGAGAGATTGGCCAGCTATGGGCGAGTGCATCTATATAGATTCTGCCACCGCTGTGATGATGTTGCAGGATGGCATTGAAGGGTGATTTGTCTAGCAGAAGTGAAAGGCAGAGTAGACCCACCTAAAGAGGACTCTGATACCCACCAGCACTGTGAAAATGAGCTTCTAAACCCCTCCCTCCCCCCTCATCAGCCCTAGAGTCTTTGTCCCCTGGGTATTTTGTTGGATTCTTGAGGATACTCTAGAATGATGGGTTGGTTGCCTCTGGAATTGACATGCATGGTTCCTTCTTCCATCTTCATCCAGATCAGATCAGATCAGATCTGCTTGGCTTGTCAGAGACCTCCTGGCACCACTACCTAAGGGAAGTTGTGGCTATCTCTCTCTCTCTCTCTCTCTCTCTCTCTCTCACACACACACACACACACACACACACACACACACACACACACAGAGAGAGAGAGAGAGAGAGAGAGATTTCTATGGCCACATCCTAAATATAGCTTCTGTGGCCGCCTTTGACCAATCTCTCTTGTCTCCATCTTGTCTTTCAGGTGGTGGGCTTGGTGATGGCTTGGCTCTACTGGCAGAAGCTAAACGAGATTCATTCCAGGCTGGACACGGTAGATTTCAAGCGCCTAGACCTGAGGGACTTTGATTTTGACTCTCTGGACCTCACTGGTGCTGGTTGGTGCTGGTGTTTGCCCCGGGAAGGTGGCTACATCCCGGTCCAGGAGAAAGATGATGATGCCATGGCAGAAGTGGTGGTGGGCGAAGATGTCTGCCAAAGCAAAGTGTGATGTGGTTGTGTTGACGTGCACTGACCGCCTCCAAGAGACTGACATGGTGGGTGCCTTTGCCAGACAGTGTGTGTATATGTGTGTGTGTGTGTTGGGCAGGGGTGTGTGTGTCTTTTTGTCTTCCTCCTCCTTAGCCTAGCAAGGAGTAGCTATCACAAAGCGTGGTGTGTTTTGGGAATCCTCAGGAGGATGGGTGTGCCTGTGTGGTGGGTGTCTGTAGTGTTTATAATGTGGGAAGCCTTTATTTTCTATTTTTAGATTTCTGCAAATTTTTTGTATGTGTCTTTTTAAAATAAAATATGGTCTTGTCTTTATCCATTTTAGCAGTTAAGGAATCCTAGAGGTTCAGGAACAGAAAAAAATAGAAAGTTGTGCATTTTGGGTTGTCATACAAAAAGGCAATGAGTCTCTCCTTCCCTTCCCCATGAGTACATAGCAACGTGGCAGGTTTTAAAGGAGTTCAGAATCACCCTCACCGCTTCCCCAAAACCCCCCGAAATGGGCTCCCTTTATTTCTTCTGTGGGTTTTTGAGGATCTGAGCTCAGCCTGAATTATGGCACACTTTAGCACCATTTTTAAGGGTGCTTCTTCACAACATAAACTCAAGACTTTCAGAGCAAGGAAAGTTTTAATAGACAAGCAACATGCCATTATTCTTCTCACCCGGAGAGTGTTGGCCTAAAAAGAGAGAGTTCCTGCTCCACATGATCGAGAACCCTGAAAAGCTAAAATTCCTGAGCATATGAAGAGGCTGAATGCATTAAAGGCAGCGCCCGCCTTGTTCACACATGCACTCTCTACACGAGGGGAGCGATGGAGGGGGAGAGGGCAACCTGCTTCTGGCCCTCATCTGCTTAGGTCACCTCAACTTGGGCCCTTTTTACCAACCAGATTTGGTGGTGCAATGTCACTGACAGCAAATGAAGTCGGTCCCTAGATCTCCACAAAGACCAAATTACGCAAGGCACTTGTGAGTGTGGCATCCTCGAGAGGCAGGTCCGAAAGCTGCCTTCCCACTTGAGTGAACAGGAGGAGAAACAGGCTTGTGATCCAGAATAGTCTTGAGCTGAGTTTGGCCGGAGGCTCTGCTCGGTTATTCAGTTGCATTCCTCACCCTGGACTACCAGAAGGTTTTATCCTGGTCCTTCCGAAGGAGCCGTCACCATCACACACTATTGGGCTTTGGAAAGGCATCTGGTGCCGTTACCCTGGTGACTCCCAAGAAGAGTAACAGCAGGATCAGCGCCCAAGAGACGAGGCCTTTTCAGAGGGACTTTGGAGTCACCATGCCCATTATGACAGATTATCCTGCAGGGTTGTTGTGAGATCCAGCACGACAAAGGCCACAAATCCTGTGGCCCATCCTGATTTTGTAGCTGTAGCTACACAAAGTAGGGATTTTGGAGGCATTCAAGGCATCAGGCATTATTTGGACCTGTCACCTTCGCTCTGCTCTAGCAGCCTTGATTTTCAAAAGAGCCTCATTTTTTATGGATGAGTCTCCGTCAGGTTTTTCCAGAGGGCTTTTTCCCATCAGAACCATCCGCTTTGTTTTTGTGGACAGCTCGGGTGGGGCGGGAGAATACGCTGTGCCTCGCCAGCCTGAAACAGCAGAGGGTTTGCAAAGCTCGGCTGGTGCGTTTGTCCCTGGCACTTCACTCCCTTGGTGTGTAAAGCATGGCTGTGTAGCAGCAGCCACGATTCAGCCCAGGTTTCCTAGGGTGCTGGACTGGAGTCTGGCCAGGAGAGTCATTTCAAGGTGTGCCTTTCAAGCTGAAGCTTCTCACAGGAGGTGGGACAGCCCCCCTCCCCAGACCAGCCAGGCCAGCTAAGCAGCTTGAACCCATGCCCTTTATGTGTGAAACAACTGGACCGCCTCTGAGGCCTGACCTCGGCTGCGGGACAGGCTGTCTGCATCCAGAAGCTCAACAATTCCATAAACCAATAGGTCAGCAGCATGCTCAGCAGAAGCCTTTGGGGGAGGCCACCAAGACCCCGGCTGCAGCCCCAAAAGGTTCTCCCTTCAGGCCCTCCAAGGGGAAGAGAAGGGAAGGGGGACCCGGCCGAGCAGTCCTGGGTCATCAGCAGAAGAAAAAGGCCTCAGGGGCCATTGCAGCCTCTGCAGGAGGAGCAGGGGTGGGGTGGGGTGGGGGCTCCCTGGGATCTGTCCGCGGTGCTGAACCTTCTATCTGACCCGGTAGCCTCTCCCAGTCTGCCCTAAACACCACAGGGCTCACGTTAGGGACTGGGATGACTCTGGTTGCCTCGTGGGAAGATTTTCATCAAAAGAGAGAAATGAAGGAAGTGAAACTCGGACCGTTCTCTTGGAACAAACAGTTGCCCCGCCCGAACTGTCCAAGTTGACTGCCTGGCCTGAAGCGACATCTCCTCCCTGGACCTTTGGGTCATTGTTGGTGGCCTGTGTTGCTCTGCTGAGGAGGTGGGCAGGATGCGCGAGAGGGAGAGGGCAACCTGACTAAAATTAATACCATTATATTTTCGGTGCCAGGCAAACAAGACTTCTTTGAGAGTTTTGAAAAATGCATTTTAGATGTTTGTAGAGACCTCTTCAAGTTTAGTGTATGGCTTTTCTTCTTCCTATCTTTTACATTGCTTGTTTAAGCTGCTCTGAGAACCCGGTGTGAAGTGATGATTTACTTGATGATTTAGGCACCTTGAATAAGTAGGTAAATAAGAGGGCAGGCAGTGGAGAACTATAGTCTAGGGTGCATTTCATGGTGGATCATCTACCTGGCCCATTCTGATAAGAATTGCTTGGGACACTGGCTTTTTCACATCACTGCCTGGGATCAGGGTGGCTTCCTCCCCACACACACACACCACCATCACCTTTAAGGTACAGTAAAATGCCTAGAAATGTAAGCGCTGGGAGTGGGAGATGGTCGCTTATCACTCTTTCCCTTTCTCATCGTAGAGGAAACAGTGTGAGTTTGGCACCATCTGGTGGTCTGGTGGCCCAAAGGTTACGTTTTGGCGAGTCGGTATCTGGTCTTTTTGAACTCCCTGTGTCTTTCTTGCCCCTGTTTGTGAAAATGATTTTGTGAAAATTGAAGAGATGTGCAAAAGAGACGGGTCTTGGGGTGCAAAGTTTAGATTTGGGCAGAGAGGGACTCCTCAGCTAAACAACTCCCCCACCTTGGCTGGAAGTTGTTTTTAATAACCTTTGAATAATAACCTTAGAAATGCAGAGCTGGAAGGGACCTTATGGATCATCAAGTCCAGCCCCTGTCAAGGAGGCCCATGGGGGGGGGAATCAAACTCCCCACCTCTGGCCCTGCAGCCAGAGAGACCTCAGCCCTTGAGCTACCCAGCAGTTCACGAGTTTCCATCCTTCCCTCGCTCGAGGGCCTTTGGCGCCTCCCATCTCCATAGAAGTGTGATGGTTACCTTATCAGAGAACATCCTTCGTCTTGCATTCCTTCCTCCCTTTCCACCAAGCCTATGCCAAAGGTTGTGTGTTGCGGGGCAGGCATCTTGATCCTATAACAATGAGGGGTGGGGGGAAAAATCAAACCTTCCATAGTTAGTCAGTTTGCCTGGTGATTTCTACATGGCGTACACCTGTCGTTTGCATCTACGTATCCTTAATAACATAAAAATAACTCAACACTTTGTTTAGAGTTGGTTGGAGACTTTTAAAAACCCTCACCTCATGATGAAGGAGAATGATGGCCATTGTTGCTCATTTGACTTCCATCTATCTCCCTCCTCAGCCGAGTGTCTCTGGCTTCCCCACTCATCCTTTTATGAATGGGGCCGCTGTCATCCTTGTGGGTGCTAGCCCAGCTGATCTGAAGGGGAAAGGGGGTGGAGCAGGGTCTCTTGGGTCAGCAGGGGGCCCTCCAGGAGGCAAGGGCTCAGACAGCAATGCTGGTGCAGGAGCTGAGGCGCCCTTTCAGTGGGTCAGGGCTGGACCTTGTGCAGGGGCCCACCCGTTTCTGGTGGCACTTCTGCTCTCGTGTCACGTGTCACCAAGCCACCTGCAATGGGGCCAAGGGATGGATCTCCGCTGAGATCCGTCCCTGTCCCATGACAGCCTGCCGAGAGAGAGAGAGAGAGAGAGTCTGTGTAGACCCAGCCCTGCTATTAGTGGATTTGTGTGTGCGTGTGCTACTGCCACATGGCTGAGGGATGCAGCAAGCTATAGGAAGAAAGAGTTGCCTGCCGGACAGCTGTCTCTTCTGTCCTCCTCCACCTCACCCCTTCCACAAGCTTTGCCTGCTTCCTCCAAGATAGTGCAAGATGCTCTCCCACAGGGAAGGCTGGGCCAGGTGCTTTTGTACCTGAAATCCTGCCCAGCACATGCTGCCTATCCAGCCATAGGCTCAAAACACCTTTTCCCATCCTGTCCATGCCCCCCTTCCTTATTTGAACACTTAGGTAGTAGATTGGCAAAAATGTTTGGTCCAAGAAATTGGCTGAGGCACTGAAGAAAGAAATGTTTGGTTGTTTGTTTCATTTGCTCAAGTGTCCAGTCCTTATGGTTGCTTTCAAAGTAGAGGCGCTATTCCTGATGCTGGTGCCAGGGTTGAGCAGGGCTTCCAGCAAGCTCATGGGGAGTTCTTGCCCCCACCCATCTGCCCCCCCATCTCCTTCAGCTGTCACTCGCTGCTCCTTCTCCTGGGATGTCACTGAACCCCTCTGTTCATGCCTTCCCTTCAATCCCCTCTTTTCTTCCCTACTCGGTTGCATTTCTCACCTGGCCGGAGGAGACTCAGGAGGGGTGGTTCTTTCACCACAAAAGCTGGGTAATGGTACAAGAGAGGGGTTAAGTGAGTCCATAGCAGGCACCTTGTTTTTGAAGCTAGCTCTCCATGGCCCATCTGAAGGGGGCTGCAAGGCCCTCATCTTAGGGGTTGCTTTTCACTTGTCCTTTTATTTGGTTGTTGGTGTAGCCTGGCAACTAGGAGGCTGAGCAACGCGTCAGGATGGCTCTGGTTCAGCTCTCACGTCCACCACAAGCGGCCTGGGTGGCCTTAGGCAAAGCGTTCGCTCTCTCTTTCTCTCTCAGCCTCGTTTCCCGCTTCTGCAGTATGTGAATAAATAATATTGACTGTGCTTTACAGGATTGCTGTAAAGCCGTGAACTAGATAACATGTGAAATGCTAGCAAGCAGAACTTTGAAAACTTACTTTGGGCTGTGGTAACTCTTTTTTATTATTTTTATTTATTTATTTATTTATTTATTTTGGCCGTCCAAAAACGTAACTCTGTCAAATTCGGGTGACAACTGGGGCAGGTTTGAGATAACCCTTTGCAGTTATTTCTCCGGTACCCAAAGGCAGAGTCTGTCAATTCTTGGAGAATCAATCAAGAATGAGGGCAGGGCCACTTGGGGGGGGGGCTTTCCTCCCCATCCTCCCAAGAGAGACAGACATACAGCAGGTCCAAGAATGAGATGTGAATCCTTTCTGGTGCTTTTATTGCCCGAGGACTGGTTCTCTGAAGTGGGTTGTGATTTATTATTGAAATGCACCAGCTTTTGCCAGCCTGCCCTCTCTGGAGAATGGCCTGTGCCCCGTGATTGACATGTCTGCACTCTGGAAGAATTGATCGGCGTGACCTAAGCATGTTTCAGTGGGCAGGCTGCGCCGCCGAGGGCGAAGGGGGTCAATACCGCCCTGGCATCAATAGTTTAGGCTGTCTGTTCCCTCAGTCCAAAGCCGCCACCGTGGAGTTGAGAGACGCCCAGAACCTGCTGCTGACCGGATGCTGTGCATACTTTGAACTTGGTGTTGAGAACTTCCCAGGAGGTTTCACCTGTAAGTACCAGATTTATTGACCTTAAGAGGGTTTCTTTAATCTGCTGTCACTCCCAGAGGGTAAGACGGAGACAGTGGGCCTTAGTGCTGAAAGAGATAGGTTTGTGGCACTGCAGGTTCTCCCAGATTCAGTGTTTCTTCTGGAAAAAAGGAAAGTAGGGTGTCTAAATATCGATGATACAGTGAAGTATCTTTCTTTATCCATTGATCAGCTCACAGTTGAGTCCTATGTACATTTAAACAGGAAGGTCCCGTTGCTTCACTGGGAGTTCCGATTTACTCCAGCAAGCATGTTTTGCACATTGTAGGTTCATGGGGACAGGGCTTAAGGGACCCCCTTACTGAAATTAGGGTCTAGCATCGAACCCTGCTCATGAAGGCAGCTGAGGAACCAGCTGGAGATGGGCCCACTGGATGGGAAGTCCTAACAGGTCTTCTGATGGACAGGTAGAACACCTTAGCCAGCTGAAATGCAGCTGGGGGTCTTGCCTGGATTTGGGCCAGAACGCAGTGGTAGCAAGAGGAACGGAGGGCGTCTCCCCTTTGTTTTTACAGCAGAAGTTCAGTCCTGCATTGGTGCTAGTGGCTGGTCCAGTCTCAAAGTGACTTTGGGGGGATTGATTTTTCTGCCAGGAAGAGTAACTGTATCATCCTCAGTGGCCCATGAAGGGCATTGGTGCACATGAAGTAATTAGGAAATAAATATGCAATCATAGGGTGTTTTTTTTAAAAAAAAAACAGCAGCAACAATACAGCCACCGCCACCTAATCCCCTTTGCAAGAACTGCACAGACAGAGGGGATATAGAGCAGAAAGACAGAGTTCTTGATTTATCAGAGTTTCTGAAAAATAAATACCCTGTTGATTTGAGAGTAACAAACTATTAAGGGCTTCCCGAAATAGAACAGGGCCTCCATCTCCCAGCTGGCAAATTTTGGCCTCGGAGCTGTGCCTGTTCTGACTGCAGGCTGGTGGCTCTTACCCCTGAATGATCTTCAGGTGATCCCTTCTCCTCGACCAAGGCAAGAGGAGTGTTGCAGAGGTGGCATTCAACCCATGCTCAATCTGTGAACATGAGTAGGCTTGTACTGCTGCTGCAGGGAGCCGATCCGTGCGCTGTTTCAGGTTGTTCCTCTGTGCACTTCATGTGCACGCCTGCGCTCACACCAAACCTTCCGCCTGAGTGTGTTGTGCAGTCTTGTGTGCCCAGTGTTTCTCATGGGATAAGAGTATCTGTGGGCTGGCATGGGGACCCCAGAGTTACACCCCTCTTGCTGTCTTCTAGCGTCTCTAGATTAACAAATAATCTGGGGTATTTTGTAAATAGTTTTTTCTTTGTTAAAAAAGGATTAAGAAATGATTTATAAAAGCCCTGCTACCCTGCACTTAAATACCTCCTAAGGGGCCCAGTTGGACCTGCACGAGATGGTCTTCTCTGGCAAAATCCCCGAGTTCTGCTTAAACCATTTTAAGTGCAAGCCGTCCTGTTATGTAGAGTGTTACTCATGTTAACCACCCACTAAAAACAAAACATTGCACACATAAACAGAATGATGAAAGTTGAGAATATTTGCTGACCAGGTTTAATATGTGGGCGAAAGAGAGAAAGAAGAGATTGGAGAAAAATTGATTATTATACTGCTTATGCCCAATTCAGGTGTTGCAGGGCAACCTGTGCTTAGAGGGGAACACAAACCTTGACCTTTCTACCGTTACAACGATCTTAGAACGGCAGAGCTGGACGGGATCCTCTGGATCATGGAGTCCGGCCCCTGTCAAGGAGACCCACTGAGGGAATCGGGGCCCCAACCAAGCCACTGAGCTGTAGTAGCTGTTTTTGGTTTTTTCATGTGATCAGAAATGCTCCCAGAGAGGAGAGGTTCCTGCCCAGGGAGACTCCACACGTTACTGGAATCCACGTTTTCCACAGTTCTAGCTCACATGTGGAGCCAATGTGGAAACGGCAACCTCTCCTCTTTGGAGAAAGTAGGAGGGAATCGGGGCCCCAACCAAGCCACTGAGCTGTAGTAGCTGTTTTTGGTTTTTTCATGTGATCAGAAATGCTCCCAGAGAGGAGAGGTTCCTGCCCAGGGAGACTCCACACGTTACTGGAATCCACGTTTTCCACAGTTCTAGCTCACATGTGGAGCCAATGTGGAAACGGCAACCTCTCCTCTTTGGAGAAAGTAGCGGCAGATTTGGGCAAAGGGTCAGTGGGAACTTATTTCCCAGCCAGGTGGAGCCAATGTGGAAACGGCAACCTCTCGTCTTTGGACTGATGGTTTGGAGAAAGTAACGGCAGATTTGGGCAAAGGGTCAGTGGGAACTTATTTCCCAGCCAGCCGACTTCAGGTACTGGAGTGCCTCTCTCAGTCGTGGTGTTGGTGTGGTTTAGTCGTTAAGTCATGTCCGACTCTTCATGACCCCATGGACCAGAGCACACCAGGCCCTCCTGTCTTCCACTGCCTCCTGGAGGTCTGTCAAATTCATGTTGGTCATTTCGATGACCCTGTCCATCCATCTCATCCTCTGCCGTCCCCTTCTCTCCTCTTGCCTTCACACTTTCCCAACATCAGGGTCTTTTCCAGGGAGTCCTCTCTTCTCGTGAGGTGGCCAAAGTCTTGGAGCCTCAGCTTCAGGATCTGTCCCTCCGCCTCTCTCAGTCGTGGTGTTGGTGTTGCTTAGTCGTTAAGTCGTGTCCGACTCTTTGTGACCCCGTGGAGCAGAGCACGCCAGGCCCTCCTGTCTTCCACTGCCTCCCGGAGGTCTGTCAAATTCATGTTGGTCACTTCAATGACCCTGTCCAACCATCTCGTCCTCTGTCGTCCCCTTCTCCTCTTGCCGGCACACTTTCCCAACATCAAAGTCTTTTCCAAGGAGTCTTCTCTTCTCATGAGATGGCCAAAGTATTGGAGCCTCAGCTTCAGGATCTGTCCTTCCAGGGAGCACTCAGGGTTGATTTCCTTTAGAACTTATAGGTTTGTTCTCCTTGCAGTCCAGGGGACTCTGAAGAGCCTCCTCCAGCACCACAATTCAAAAGCATAAATTCTTTGGCGGTCAGCCTTCTTTATGGCCCAGCTCTCGCTTCCATACATTGCTACTGGAATGTCAGTGTTACTGCATCCATTTTCCTGAATACACTTAGAGGAGAGTAACCCTGATATTGACATCACAGTACCTGAAGCAGGCTGGCTAGGGAATAAGTCCCATGGATGAGGGCTGATGAATGGTCACCAGCGCACAAGTGGGCCTTCTGCCCAGGCACAGCTGTACCCTCAAGGCCTCTGTAGGGACAAGGCAGGGATCTCTGCAGGGCTAAATGGGGGGGCAGAGGCAGGGGACACGTGGAATCCCCTTCCGCACCCAACAGTAAGACTTGGGCATGTTTAAAGTGACGTTCTGTGACGGAGCCTATGAGCACTTTCAGCCGACGTGCTTCACAGCTGTAACCCACCATTTTGATGCCTGGGACAAAATGCATCACCTCCCAACCACCCAGCTTCCTCAGTCTGGCTGGGACTGAGAGGGGAGGGCAAGAGCTATACCACGGGGCTGCTGATCTCGCTGTCTTCTCCATCTCGGACATGGGGGGCAGGGTGTTCATGCCACAGCTAACCCAGCCCTGGCCATTGGTTTGTAGGGCTGTGGTGTCCCTTCCTTCCTTCCTTCCTTCCTTCCTTCCTTTTATCCATATATCTTTTCCTTCCTTCCTTCCTTCCTTCCTTCCTTCCTAGCATATACCATGATGACACAGTGTTCAAGGGTGGCACTTTATTTCTTGCTTCAAGCAAGAGTAGAGCTCCGTTCCAGGGGAGAGAGATCCCCTGAAAGTGAATCAGTTCGGGAGATGTGGCAGCTTGTCTTTCTGGCCCTCTCCAGTCAACATGGCTCTAAACGTGGTGCCCTCTGGGTTATGGCCTCCTGAGGGAAAAACGCTGACTGGCTCTGCCTCAGTTACAGCTCTGACCTGTTTTCAGCAAGCCCAGGATCAGGAGCTCAGCCCAAGGCTCCAGGTGTGCTTCCTGGAGTAACTCTGGGACAACATTCCTCTGCGAGAGGGTCAGCCACCCCCCTGGGCAAACCTCTGAGGCCCCTGCGGTCCACTCGGAAGGCCTTCCCAACCCAGCCTCTTCCTATAGACTTCCAGCTGGTCCAGTCTTGCAATGGTGGACTTGCAAAGGAGGAGTGGTGAAAAAAAAGTTCTTAAAAATAAATGGGGAAGGCTGATCTCAAACTAATGGCAGATGAATTACATCCTGCATCATCTTCTCCCCCCCCCCTTTTATAGAGACTTAAAGTTCATGGCTTATTAAATAGTTCCTATTGCTTCTTTTCCCCTCCCTGTTACATATATTCACTTTCATTAGTATTTCAGAATTTCATAGTGCAGGGCGAGTAGCATGCACCAAAAATTAAACCCTTCCTCCACTTGGCTATTGGGCTCTTTCTGATCCCATGGGCCGTCTCTTTCTTCTAACTGATCCGTTTCAGCACCTTCTTCTCCTTTTTCCTCTTGGTGTTCTGTGCAGCGCCCCTGCTCTAGCCATGATGGACGATGAGGATGCCATGAGCGAGAGAGGCCTCGGGGCCTCCAGAATGAGGTACGATGATGAAGAAGGTACGTTGGATTCTCATGCGCTAGATTGACCAGAGTGGTTTCTACTCCTGCCTGTTGCTTTAAATTTGCTAACAGAATGGGGAAATGTTATTCACTGTGTTGTTCCTTTTGTAATAAGAGTAGATGACTGAAAATATATTTGTGTTAATCCTCAAGAGAGGAAGGGAGGGATGCCCACCGCCAGGGATGGAAGGTCTCTTCAACACGGAGAGGTCCTGCTTCACCCAGTGCCTTCCCACCCCATCCACCTGGTTCTGTGCAAAGCAGCTGCTGTGTCCCTCTTGTGACACATACACACACCTCAGGTCCAGCCGTTCTCAGTTTCCTAAGGCCCTGCATGTACAGGCGCGCGCACGCACGCACGCACGCACGCACGCGCACACACACACACACACACCCCTCTGCTGTTTTGCTTTTCCCCCCACAGGCGACTACCACTCCATCTACATCGGGGTGCCGGTGCCACGAGGCTACAGACGAAAAAGGCGTAGGAGGAGATCCGTGTCCAGCCGGGACAAAAACGAAGACTCCGAAAGGCACTATGAGCGGCAGGATCGGTCCGACACGGATGAAGGAGGGAGGAACGGCGATGAGAATGGAAACGACCACGCCAGCAGGACCAGTGAGTGGACAAGAAAGGGAAAGAGCAAAGACCTCATTGAGATCCTTGAGGTCATTGCGCCGTCAATGCTCAGGGTGTCTGTGAAGGCAAGAGAAAGCAAGGCCCATGGGTCTGTGCCCCAAGGAGCTTACAGTTTACATGTAGGCAGAAGGAATGTGGTAGGAGTATTTATTTATTTTTATTTTATTAGATTAGATTTATACCGTGCCCATCTAGACCAAAGGTGTACTCTGGGCGGCGGTACAGCAGATTAAATCCCCCTTATGGATCAAGACTGTGCCACAGCAATCATGCACTAAAAAGCAGAAGGGAAAGTGAAATAATCTTTAGGAAATCACAGTCTCATCTCTCCAGCTGGTAATGGGAATAATGAAGCAATTAGAGGGCAAGCCTTAAGCAGAGCTAAACAAGAGGTAGTTTAGAAGCAGGGGAAGTTACGGTATTTGTTTCCAGCCTTTGAAAGAGCCCATTAGCCTTTGGCCAGTTCACTGCCGCATGGCAAGCGAAAGCGTGTTATTATGAACCTGATCTGTAAAAAGCCAGTAAAGCAACACAGACGATATGGGAATGCAGTGGAGTGACATCCTCAAGGGAGGGAAAGGGTGATTCATTCAGGCCAAACAGTTAGCATGGAGGAAATCTTGGTCATTCTGAAACTGTGGAGAAGTTTCTCTCACTGGATCATGTTTGGCATTTGGCATTTCCAGGAAGTTCCCTGGCAAAAGATCAGCTGGCAGGCAAGATCTGGGTGAACTAAAGTCCTGCCTGGCTCTCTATATTGACCCCTGATCCCCACTGGATCACAGCAACACCAGTGGCCTTTCCATTGCACCCAGTTTGCAAAGACGTTGCGCAGGAAAGGCTGTGGCTTATCTCTCGCTGTGATATTTGTCCAGGGGTCGAGGAGAAAAAAAAATCAGAAGGTGGTTGAGGCTGTCCTGGCGGTGCGGGAAATGGCAGAAGTTGTTTTAAAGATGGATCTGAATTGGAAACCCTGTAGAGGCCCTGCAGAAAGAGTCGTCTCTGTAGTTTGGAGAGAGGGTTCCACGGAGACACATGGAGTGCTAGAAGAGAAAGGATCTCAAACCCAACACTCCACCTGCCTTACAGATCTTCCACTATTTAGCCTTTACAATCCAAATCATGTCCTTCAAAATCTAGAAAAGGGGGGGAGGAGGAAATAGATGCAGATCCCACACTTCTACCATCGTCTGAGTAGCTGGCGTAAAATGGACCTACGAGGGCAGTTCGGGGTCTGAGGGCAGCAGGCAGCTCGGCTGGGTGGATTTGACGTGAGCGCCTTCCTACCCCCAGCTAGCTCAGTAGATGACAGGGACAAAAGGTCTGTTCCAGGGGAGATCGCTGGTGAGAACACAGGGTCTGTTTAAAACAGTGCCACCAACCATCAGACGTGGCCCGGGGAGTGGCTGGGCACAACCGAGTCCACCTACACCGTTGCTGGGGCCAAGACAAAACTGTTCACCTCCATCTATTCCCTGCAGCCCAGTTCTTAAGCTCCTTAGCAAAGCTTAACATTTTGCATACCAAAATAGTTGTCTGCTTTCCATGGTGCTCTCAGTGAGGGGCTTTCATTGAGTTCTGCAAAATCGTTAGCACAATGCCCTTCATCAGGGCTGGTTCGGGTGACTAGGGTAGAAGCCAAGGTGAACCCGAGCAAGGACGCTCGGAGCAAGGAGCCACGGAGTCTCAAGCTGGTCGTTACAAAGAGCCTCACACAAGGCTGAGCACCAAAACATTACCTGCCTCTCATCTGGTTTTTCACAGCACTTCCAGTTTCCTTTGCAAAATATAAAGGGGAATGGAGGAGAGGGACCCCTTGCCAACCCCACTGGAAGGGGAGATGGGGAAGCCTTGCTCGGGATATTGCAAGGGAGCCCAAAGTGAGAGGGGTAGGATCCTTACACACCCCATTGTGTAACGTGCCAGCTGGGCTGAGAGGAGAGACCGTTGCCCCCCCCCCAGGTAAACAAACCCACAGGGCTGTAACATAGAGGAGGGTGTCTAGGGCTTTGCCCCCAGACCCTCACAATCTTGACGCCATCAACATCTGATGAGTGCTAGAAAAGTAAATGGAGATCTCTCCCAACATGCTTTATTTTCTTTTTCTTGAAGCATAAATTTTTTCTTTATAAGCAGCATGCTTTGCTTTGCTTTTTTGGGGGTGGTGGAGTAAATGTCTAAGCAGCACGCTTGGCTTTGCTTTGCTTTTTGGGGGGTGGTGGAGTAAATGTGCATGTCTCTGGGGGAAGGGGGTGGGGGGCGATGGCACTTGCCCCCACAGCCCAAATGGCTAGTTGCAGCTTAACCGACATGGCTGTTTTTATCTGGCAAATTGCTAGAAGTGATGTGTTCATGTTTGAATGGCACAGTACAGTTAGCATGTCCTTAGACACAGAACTCCCTACCCCAGTGAAAGACGTCTTTTTATCCTGGCAGAATCCTGTGTCATCCTGGACTAGGCAAATTAGTTCATATTTATTTAGTGATTAATATTTGGGAAAATAAATGCGGATTTGTTTTGTGATCCTGCCTGCTTGGGCGTGGAGCTTTGAATGAATGGAGTACCTAAAAGAAAACCTTATAACAGAAGGAAATCATGTTTCTCTTAATGTGTGATTTGACCCTGAGGTTAATTTAAAGCAGGCACCAAACCACTCCAAGTGCGGAACTTGCGGTTCCATAGAAACTGACATGCAAGAGCCTTCATCTTTGGGAAATGCACGGAAAAGAGTGTTCCCCCTTCTGGGTAAAAGGAAATTCCTTGCCGTTCCTTCCTGCTGGCTTGAAGTAGCTGGTCCTGCATCAAATTGCACCCATTGGCCCAGTTTAGAATCCCCTGAATCAAGACGTATCTCTGAATGAAATTCTTTCATTCCCTCCAGCTCGGCCCCTGCCCTCCGTGGCGCTTTCAGGGGCCCTTTGGCAGCCTGCTGGGGCTGGACGCGTCGTCATGCGCAGCATTTCTGGTTGTGAAGGGATTATGCATATCTTTTAAGAGGTCCTATTGTTTCCTCCTTCTCTGTCCATCCCTCTGCTCTCCCCTCCACCCTCTTTCTTACACATGCGCAGGCACACACACATGCGCGTGCACACAGACTCTCTCTCGCACAACCACTGAGTCGCCCGAATGGCCCACCTCTCACACGGGATTCGTGTTGATTTGGTAACTTCATGTCATGAGAGCTGAGGGCAAATTAAAAAGGTTTTCTATGCCCTATAATCTGCTTATTAAGCACTGGAGTTTTAACCGGACGGGCTGGGTGGAATAAGTTAGAGCGCATTGTTTTTGTTGCTGTCGTTTTTCTCGGGGTCTCAGAGCTGGGGAAAGTGTGGGGGGGTCTTGACGGGGGTCCTGTGAAGGTTTCCTGAGCCAGCCGGGGAACAAAAATTATGGGGGAAAAACGCCAAACTTTTCCAGGTAGGACACCTATTTTCCACATTCTTTCCGCCTCTTTGAGTTTCAACGGACCTTTGGTTTTCCATCCGAGAGTTTCCGTGGAATGCTTGTGTTCTCGTTGAAGGTGCCGTGAAGCGCAGCCTAGTCTGCGTCTTTCAAGTGAGCGGGGTGCCTTGGCCGTCTGTGCACGAGAGCACTGATTAAGTGAGGCTGATCCTTGCCGATTAACCAAAGATGAGCTGAAGCGGACAACCCTCCGTGGCTGTGGGGTGCAGCCCCTCCGCTCGCTCTTTCCCACTTTTGGGAGCCTAGCTAGAAAATCCAGGGAACGACGGAGGCTGCGTGGACCTGGAATTCAAGAAGGGGCATTTGGTGTGGCCAAAAAGAGGCATCCCCTTCTGTGAGGAGGGCCAGCAGGTGAAATCCTGAAGAGGGAAATGCAGAGGCAGAGGGTTTCACGGGTGAAGGTGACAGAAGGAGGCAGCTTAGTGTAAAGCTGTGTTGAAACCCAAGCTGTTGAGTTCAGAATTGCGCCGTGACCAGGGATGAATCCAGGAGGCCTTTGCCCGTTGACAGCAGGCCATCCGGTTTTCCCCAGAGGTGCATTTCCTGCATTGTGCATGTGAATTTCCGTGTGGGTTTCCAAACTAGTCAGATGCTTCCCGGAAAGTGTCCTCTAACACAACCTAGCGATTATGTTTTGTTTTTAATTGAATGTCTCGTCTGATCCAAAGTAAAGGAGAGAGGCAAGTATCTTCCCTTCTGGATGGAGAGACGGCGATGAGGCTGCCTGAGCAGGCCTCGAATGGTTGATAGTTACAGAAAGGTTGGAGGACCAAGGGGTTGAGTGTCGATTGCCTTCTGTTTTGCTACATGGGTCCAGGCCACCAAACACCGCTCCCTGGTAGCCTCCGTCCTTATTAAAACATCGGGTGGGTTTACTGGTGCAGAATATGGATTTGTCTGCAAAATAATGAAATCAGTATGTGATATAAGAACAATTAGGGTTGGTGGCAAACTGTTCTACGTTGTGGGGGAGGCGTCTGAGCTTCGGTCATGAGGGACCTCTTTTAGGAGACGCAGGCCATGGGCAGCAGGCAGCTGAGTTGGGGAACAAACTCAAACGAAGTTGTCTTGAGAGCAGAAACAGGAGATGTGGAAGCCGCAGGTGCTCTTGAGCTTATGATGTTTTGGGAGGCAAGGATTTAGGGTGCATCTAGCTGAAGTGCATTCCTGGTGATTGGATTTGTGTTTGTCCGTCTCCGGTTGTTATTGTTTTTTACTGGATCCTGGTGTGGAAGCCTCGTAGTCGAACAGTTCCTTGATTGAATCTGTTTGACAGAAGCAAACAGGGTTTCCTCGGGAGCGGCTGCCCCCCTGTTTCGCTTCTCTTCCCATGTCTATGCCTGAAACACTTCTGCTAGGAATGAACATGAAACATGAAAACTATGAGATACGGAAAACGGAAATCTGTCAAGAAGACTTGAGTTGTTTGGTGCTCTAGTTGTCAGTCTTTGGGATATTGAGGGCAAATGCTTTATAGCCCTAATTCACAGGTGTAAATTCTGGGAGGAGAACGGTG